ATAGGTACTCAGCTTGTAGCGAGGTCCAGAAGAAAAACACAAATTGGTGGAAGAAAAAATTTGGCAGCTGGTAGAGTTCCAAAATGGAAGCGTAATGAACATGGATATAGTCAACAGCCATGTTCTAATGTCCTACCAAGAAGCAGAAAAAGTTTCAACCCAGATAAACCAACATCTAAATCCTCAAAAGCACCACAAGGAATTCGGTACGGCAGCTTCTAACGTACGTCTTTCTACGGAAACTAAAAGTTTGCTCCGTGATCTAGAGAAGGGACGGCAAAAGCGAATCGAAAAGGACGACGACGCGTCGTCTCGGGGAGATACAGTTTCGGCACGACGTCGCTTCTTACACACGTCGTATCGATGGTGTTGGTCGTTGTCAGAACGTGATGGTTCATTATGAATCAAATAAACAGATGCCGTAATCTAACGGCAAAAGATCGCGGAAATCGGAGTATAGAAAATAAGAAATGGCTGCAAGTGCAACTCATCAAGAGTTGGCCTCGCGTCTAGGGGAATAAATATGATTCGAAGTGTACTTTTGTCGCTATCCGATAAAGACGTTAGGTGGATTTAATTTATACCCGCACTTTATTTCAAAATTTTACTAAACACTAACACGACTTACGTCGCAAAAATGTGGTCGACACTGGTTATGAGGGTAGAGACCCGTGGGCCGTTTATTAAATGAGCGACAACAGGTTATTTTAACGAAAAATAAAACAAACCGAAAAGATAAACACAATAATAAAAATCTTCGCATAATATCGTGGCACTTTTGTGGCGTCGACGACGCGATGTCCGGCGTGATCCTTGGGCGACAATAGGTTAGCAGCGTTGTAAGCGACGGTGCGCGGGTGCGGATCGGTTGGTCGACGTTGTCGCTTTCACAACGGGATGAAGACTCCCGCACCATTTGCGGCGGGTCGTCGTCGGCCGTGCGGCATTTGCTGGAATCTGCACCGTAGCGTATAACACGCGGTGTTGGTCAGTCAAATACTCATAGTAGGGCGACGGCTGATAAAGGTGGCACGAGTCGCGGGCCCTGTCAACACGTTATGTTGTTATCATCGTCATTTATATATTCTATGACGTTTCGTGTGTGTGTGTGTTACGGTATAGCGTACAGAAATTTAAGTAGTGTATGTATTTATTTAAACCCGAAAGATACATTTAAATAATTAATAATTAGCAGTGTAATATTTTTTACTTTCAGATTTGAATGACAAAAAATATTATGGCTGTAAGTAGGGTTGGCCAGTTAATTAGCCGTGACAAAGAAAAAAAAACTGCTTTGGTTCAATTATGCATTGATCATAATACTTGTAACATATTTTATGTATGTAATTTTACACGTTCTGTTTTTTTTTATTATCTGACGTATAAAAATTAATTTAAATTTAATTAAACAGGAAATAACATTATGGTTACGACGAATATTGGTCAGTCAATTGTGGCCAATCACTTAAAACTGTACTTATTGTCTTATTTTAAACTATAAGAATATATCTTGATTCGGTAATGATATAAAAAAGTAACATAGGTAAGAGTATTGTTTATACTGTTTGAAAGGGCTACTGAGCTCACATGGCCTTAACTGGTAAATGAAGACAAACAAATTTTCATCTGTGATAAATAACAATAATTATATTCTAATATCAACAATATACTACTTGTTTCACACCAGTGAAAATAATACATCAAATTAACAATCAAAAACTTGAGATGATGTTTCTATGAGGTACACCAATGATTACCAATGAGCTGTGTTATTTAATACACATATCCTTGACAAAATGAGCAAACTACTATCAGCCGAGAACAAAAATCAACATAAAAAGATTGTTCAGAAGAATACATTTCTTCTTTCTTCATATAGTTCCATAACCATAAAAAATAAGTCTTTTTATAGTGTGATAGCTGAAAACAGTGTCGCCATATTTTGCGGCGCGAACACTGTTTATATTCTATTAATTCTATTGATGCAAACAATTTTTTATGCTCAGAATTATTAAATAAAATTATTTTTAATGATTTCATTAATTGGAAGAAGATTTTAATGTGAATGTAGACATGCAAAAAAAAACAATGTAATTGACTTGGGAAATCATAGTTACTCAATTTGGGCAGTATGCAGTTTTCGATGCAGAAAATAACAGTCAATTGTGGCGAGCGTCATCGCTAAAAACTGATTTTATTTATGTAACAATGATGATATTGTAAAAATAAAACGTATAATAAAAACTATTGGTTTGGTGTTGTACTCATTACTTTAATTCTCGTATATAAAGGGTAAAGCAATCCGAGTATAAAAATATGTAAAAACAATTATTGTGTTGTTTACATGTAGAATAATTAAACAATAATAATATCGCAGACAAAAATTAAAAAAATTAAAAGGAGTTCATAATAAGATTATTTTCCAACCCTACCGCAATACCACCTGAATATAGTTTTCAGGTGGTGTTACGGTATTTTACTAAAAGGACCGGAGGTATCCATCGAAAACATCATAGTCGTTCCGTCGGACATCTACTATGGAGGTATCATGACCATGAACTAGCTGGGCATCCGGGTAGGAAAGAAACCTACCGTAGCATCGGTAAGCGTTTCTATTGGACCGGTATTAGATAACTAGTGCGACAATATTTCACGAGGTGTCACATTTGTGCATGTGTAAAGCCTTTGAATCGGAAACCGTAAGATCCGATGACACCGAGAAAACCACACCAGCCATGGGAGGTCATAAGTATTGATCTTATCATCATCCTAGGACTGCGTGCGAGAAAACATGCCTACTGGTATACAGACCAACAGACTGCTATAGTAGATGGAGGCCTATCCACTTGGTCAGGCAACTACCAAGTCAATCATCGATACGTTAGAAAAAGAGTTCTTCTCTCGTTTCGGTTATGCTCGAGCGCTCTTGTCTGATAACGGGACGCAATTTGTCTCCAAAACAATGGAGAAGTGGGGAACACAAGGTTGGACGACACCAATCTATTACTCCAGGGCAAATCCAGTTAAGCGCCGAAATCAGGGCATGAAAAAAGGATTGCGCACTCAGTGAGAAACCGCAGGAACAAACTGACGGGATGGACACCATCAGTTTTAGCTTTTGGACTCGAAGCAAAAGCTCCCGGTGATTGGCTACTGGACATTAGTTCTACGAGTAAAAAACCGGACAATTTCGAGAAGATCCAAAGAATAGAGGAATAGTCCAGTAGAACAGGAACTTTTACCGAATAATTACGGGAAAAAATTCAGTTTTCCACAGAGGAACCGGGAAATACTGAAAACACCGGAGAAGAAAATAAATTTTTACAAGTGATTGTTGAACGACCTGGACGAAATCCATGTTGTTCATCACATAAAATATTATTGAGGATAGGATGGATATAATTAATAACAATAGTTTCAAATAATTTAGATACGTGAAAAAGAGTGGTTATTGGACGGTAATTTGTTACTTGAGATGGGTCACCGGTTTTAAGTATCGGGGAAATTGTGCCAAGCTTGAGTGAGGAAGGGAAGAGCCCGAATCAAAAGATTTTTGACATAACAGGAAAAGTCCCCAGGCAATAACATCCCCTAAGACAAATAAAAAGTGACTTTGTATTCTATTAGGACCGATAGTTTTATTGTTACAGAGGAAAAACAGGAAATTACTAACATCGTCAATAGTGAACTCTATTTTGGAGGGTAAGAAGGAGAAATTGGGGGGAAGGTGTGCTGGACAAGATAAAGAATTAAGAGAAGGGTATGTATAGAGGAAAAATAATTAGAAAAAATATTAGCTACTTCTTTAGGGGAGGTACTAGAAACATTATTAAACACTACATGTGTGATTGATATACGAGATGAGCGGGTTTTGTGTACAAAAGACCAAAAAGAACGAGGGTTATTTAAAAGAGATGATTCTGTACGGGAAATGTAGTGACGGTAGTAACGTTTAGATATAAGTTTATAGCGAGCCCGCAAAAGAGAGAAATTTTTATAGTCCATAAGTGATGAGGTTAGTTTGTACTTAGCATGAGCTGAGTTTTTTAAGTAAACTAGTTTTTTGAGTTCCGGATTGAACCAAGGCGGAAAGGTAGAATGATTACCAAATTTTATGGTAACAAAAGTAAGGATAGAAGAATGTAAGGTGTCTAGAAAAGTGTCAATAACGTCATCCGTATCAAGAGATTTAAAAGTAAGTTCCCAATTGAAAGAATTGAGGTACTGAATGATACCAGGGAAATTAGATTTATTAAAATTAAAATATGAAAAAGTAGTACTATTTGTTAATGATTTTGAGGGGCGGTTGAGGGAATAAGCCAATGGCGAATGAAAGGTATCAGGAGGGACGGCAGATAAAGGGAGCGAGGTCAACAGATGCAAATATAGAATTAGTAAAAATTAGATCAAGAATTTTACCATGCGCATTTGGAATATTATTGTTTTGATAAAAACCATGAAATGAAAAAGTTTGACACGGCCCGTAATAACGCACTATTCATTTACCGTGAATTAGCACGTTATCCGGTCGTGATTATCAGCTGTCCACCGTCGCACTCATTAGTGTTGACGATAACACAAGTTTGTCTTATCCGGCGGTCGGTAGATAGGACAGGTCAGGGGGTTCAGCACCGCGAGACACGTCGGCGACTATGTAAACGAGTTCACCTGTGACTTACATCCGCCGCACGTGTCGTTGAAAGATAGTAATATTGATTTTCATATCGGGCTTTAATATTGTCTTTATTTACTTAATATACTTTAAATAAAAATTACACGTTAATCCATACATGTGGCTCGTAGAGCAAGTCATCAGCTACACTATGAAAAAAAAAAATTTTGCGCTCGATAATATTTGAACTACATACTGCATTTACCTAGAATAAACGAGTATTTTCCTAAAAATCGTATGTTTTACAGGATTTTTACTCTATAAATAAAATTAGTCATTATTTATTATTAATTGTTATACGATTACATTGATATATAAATATGAATATTTTAGTTTTATACACATAAAAAATAATTATGCCATTGATAAATTCATGTCTGAAAATGAATCATTTAATTGACTATTTAATTCATCTTCTTTATAGTTGTCATCATTATGAGGGAATATTACTAACATCTTACCATCTTCTGATAACTCTTTTAAATGCATTTGCTTATTTCTATCGATACTAGAAATGTAAGGATCCGATGAGATAAGAAGTATGTGAATTAAATCCTCATTAGTATTTAAGCGCGAATTTTTTCTGGTGTGATGTTCTCGGTACATTTTATAATCTTTATTGCGACTCTCTTGTGCCTCCTCAGATAAGTTGCCTAAAATAAATGTTGATATTTTTTATTGTAGTAACTATAATCTTTTGTGATATTACCTATAGGAAGTGGCGCATATTGAATAATATGAGCACCGTGTAACAAAATTTTATGCACTGACGCCGGCATATAGTACCATGGATACAATGATACAAACAATTTAGCTGTTAAAAAGCAATATTCTTCAAAGGCCTTTATGTTTATTGTATATCCGCTCGCTATTACCGATAAAATTGTTCCACACCGTTTCATTAAATTAATATCAATTCCAGTACAGGAGGATGACAATTCAGCGTTTTTAAAAAATTTCCTTGCAGTATTGCCATCGTTCGTAGTTCCATGTCCTATAATTGGACAATAATGAATATATATTAGACAATATTAAATTGTATAGAATGAATTATTTTTTAAATGTTTTAACATTCTAATATTAAATTAGACTAAAGTATCACATACCTTGTAAAACAATATCTACAAAAAGTCCCATTTCAGACCTAAATTTATTTTGAATATGTTGTTTACGAACACTATACAAACCTTTGTTTACAGCCTTAACCTTTAAAATTAGAAGAAAATAAATTGTCAGTGGATTGCATATTGTATATTTTATAATTTTTTTATTTTACCTGCCAAGTTTTAATTTCTAATCTATACGAAAGATGAATAAAATACTCAAAAAAACGTATCCACGCATGCAACGTTGACAATCCATACTTATAATTTTCTGTTATGCATGGTCGATATTTAACTGCCTCAATGTCATTCATTTCGGTTGGTTTACATCCACAAATAAAACATTTTTGGCTAGATATTCCAGTCAAAGAATTACATACCTATAAATTTTTTTTTTTTATCGAACCGAGTTAAGAAATAAGTAATCAAATTATATAGATCAATAAAAAATATTGATCATTAATTTTCTTGTTTGAAATTTTTTTTTCTGTGACTGAATAATATAATCATTACTAATAAAAGTACACAATAAATTTTAGATATTTATAATAAAGTTTAATATTAACCTTTCCATCAACCATAGAAAAAATAAGCGTATGTTTTACTTCAAAGTATTCGTCATTGAATAATACATATGTAGTATTTAATTTGCTTATTTGTTTTTCAATTTCTTTTACCTCCTCTTTGGTACTTTCAATTGTTTCTTTCATAAATTTGTATTTAATAGGTCTACAAAATCTAGTAGAGGAAGGCATAGAATTTTTCCAAATTACGTCACTACTATCATTGCTATCATCACTACAGCATCTAAGTTCAAGTGGCACAAGAGAGAACATGAACATTGTTTGGTCAGTTGTACAAGGGTTGTCATTAAATTTTTGTTTATATTGGGCCTGACCACTACTTCCGTCGCAGCCCCATTTATAGAACATTTCTAATAACTTTTTGCCAATTTTTACCTCGTTGATAGCTGGTATTTGAAAAATTCTTTTAGTTGTGTGATCTAAAAGATTCTGCAAGGGTATTATGCAACCAGATTCACTAATTTTAACATTATCAGGATAACATTTTTGTTTAGCACTAAAAATTTTTTCATAAGATGGATAAATATCGCAATTCCTCTTTTTAGCTCCTAATCTTATATTCATATACTGTTGTTTTGTAAGTTGATTGTCTACAATAAATGCTAAAGCTTCATCAGCAGTATAAGATATAGGTTCTTTGTTACAAGAATCTTCAATTGCCATTTTCATTTGTGGGACACTATTAGGAGACAACAACAGTTTATTAAATAAAGCAGTCTCATTTCTTTTTCCAGACACAAATAACTTTTTTTTTGCTGCACATAAAATTTCAGGTGACGTCATTGATGTCATAGTTAACGCAGAGTTAATTTTTCGCCGCATTGTTCGTTCTGAACATTCAGTTAAATCAACCAAAGGTCGGCCCTGTATTGTTTTAGTAGATTTTTTTTTAATGGAAGGCATTTTAAATGGTGTAGTAAGCCATTCTGAATAATTTTTCAAAAACCTTTCATGATGACGACTAACCTTAGTCCATCTTCTAGAAGCAGCCAAACAAAATACTAATATACTTTTTTCAACTTTTTTAATAAAATGAGTACTCCAATTTGCTCCATTATATTTTTGCTTTAAAAAATCAAAAATTACTGCCCTTGAGTTATTGTTTGTTATGTTTTTTAAACTAATACCATTTTTTTTAATAACTTCAATCAGTTGTTGATTTGAAAAAAAAATAGATGATGAACAATCAGAAACTAAAATAAATGTATAAATTTAATATTGTTAAAAATTATAATATCAAAATTAAAAAAAGGTTTAATCTTAAATCTTAAACAATCCTATTATATATTATATAGCATTATGATCGAAAAAAAATTTATTAAAAATGTATAACTTGTTAAACAGTTTTTCCAGTAAAAAATAAATCTACACACATTTATAAATTGATTAAATAAGGGTATAAATTATTTAATAATAACTTACCAGGTGTTTTAATATCCATTTGAAGAAAGTAATTTTAAAAGTTAAAAACTTATAAAAAAAAACACTATATTGAAAAAATGTATAGAAAATAGAGAGATTAACAAATGGAGAGTGGTTAACTTTATGGCATAATATAACGATGAAAAAATTTTTCGTCAGATAGATATACATTCAAGATAACTTAAACAATACCAAATCTTATCGATGAGTTCATATAATGTTATTTATTAGTGTTAACTTATGAGGATGCCTATAAAATCATAATACGATTTTTAGGGAAATACTCGTTTATTCTAGGTAAATGCAGTATGTACAGTTCAAATATTATCGAGCGCAAAATTTTTTTTTTTCATAGTGTAGCTGATGACTTGCTCTACAAGCCACATGTATGGATTAACGTGTAATTTTGCGTAATTTTTAGTTAATCTCTTTAAACGAGCAAACTAGAGAAAAAAACGAAAAAATTCGATTTTTTTTAAAGTATAAATTTGTTAAATTCCACAAAAATTAAAAAAAAAGTTTTTTTTCTTTTTCATTTGAAAAAGGATATCTTTTTTAATAGGAATAAAAAAAAAAATTTAATTTTAAATTATGTTTTAAGGCATAAAAAAAATGTACAAAAATAAACTCAAAATTACTGAAAATACGGATAAATTTTAGAAGTATAACATTAAAATAGCTCTACACCTTCACTAAATCAACTTATGCTCTTGAAAATTTTTATTAAAACCCTTAAGTATGATATTAATGTGTTTTGCTAAAAAAAAAAAATTTAAGTGACTTAAAAAATGATACTTTTGGCCGCCTAAATCGGCGTTTCATTCCACTGTGTGTCGTAGGGATATCTTATTATGGCACATTTGCCGTGAATTGCAAAAAGTGTTTATGTGTGCAGTCCGCCTTCCTGTTAGTATTGTTGTATGTAACTGTGTTAAATATATATATATATATATATATAAGTCTATTAAACGGTACAACGATGTTATGGGAGATAGAGATATGGACACATGCAAATGTGATCGTATCACCCGGTAATTTCATAACATATTTCAAAAGCTGACATTTTACACTAATTATGTAATTTAAACAATAGAACTATAATTGTATAAAGTTATTGTAATTTTTGAAATTTATTATTTTTTAACTTCCATTACATATTTGTCAGCATGGTTTGAAAAATCGTTAACAGTCATTAATATTTTCTGCCACCATTTAATTTACAAACGTATGAAACATTATTTTTTTAAGACGTTGAACATTGTATTTTTAACTTTCATTAAAAAGTAGGAATTTAACAATATATAGATGATTATAACAAAATTACGAAAAAACTAAATGAGTCCCCGCCAAGCCAACGATTTTACGTGTAATAAAATAATTTTAATAAACATATAAACTAAGTACACAGTTCTATATATTTTATAAAGCATAAGTAAGAGGCATTCAAAAACTCTAATAGCCTTTTAGATGAATTTAAAGCAATCGCGACTCTTTAAATTTTGTCCAAATAAAATGTTAACAAAAAAATGCTATAAGAAATTTTGTCAAATCTGTTAAACACTCAATGCCGTCCCACTTGTTAATTCTAATAAATTCATGAAAATAATTTGTTCATAAATTTTAATAATGAATACCAGACTTCGGACTGTCTACTACAAATCATTTATAAATAATTGATGACTTGTAGTAGGTGTGGTTACAATGAGTGTCTACAATTTTTTAACAACCTAAAAATGTGAATGAATTAATATTTTAAAGAGAATTTGTTTAAAAAGAGTAAAAGCAAAATACTATTTGTAAGAACGGTCTATTATGATGATTATATTAACTCTAATATTGTAATTATTTTCTTATTACTATTCGAAAATTGATATATTAATTCTTAATTACAATAGTTAACACACACTTGCATTACTCTGCAGAATACTACTGAATTTAATTAGTATGTACTATAAAACCGATGAATTATAATATTAAATTATTTATTATATTACTACTTTAGATATTAATTCTTATTTGAGACCGTCTCATTAATCTTAAAGACATTCTTGTTTCATCTTTTCCCTCGTCACATAATATACAATAAAAATCATTATTGACGTAGTCATCTAGTCCAGTGTTTCTTAAACTGGGTTCCGCGGAGATCAGTTGAGGGTTCCGCAAAACTTAAATGTTTTTTTCAAAATTTATTTGGTATTATAAAATATTAAAGTATTTTAATTTTACATTTAGTCAATTTTGGTATGAAATGTACGTTTAATAATAGTATATAGTCAATATTATTTTGAACTAATACAATATAAAATAAGGTCGAAAAACCACCGTCGATAACGAATTAGATAAAATAAACAGATAAAATTAGTATTTGGTTGTAATACGGCCGTGTCGTGCATTTTATTTATTTTTAAATGGGCTTTAACGACGTCACGAGGACATTACCGATACCGCACTACAGAGTACATCAGTACGTAGTCGTCTGTTGTTCGTTGTTGCGTGTAGTGTTATAACTTATTAAACTAATACTACCACCAATATGAGTAAACAAACAAGGAAAAAAACCAAATTCGTAAATATGATCCCTCATACTTAGCGTTCGGATTTACATATAAAGATGATTACCCTCAATGCGTTATCTGCGCGAAAGTTTTAAGTAATAGTGCTATGGCTCCAGCAAAACTTACTAGGCATTTGGAAACAAAACACGAGCAATATAAGAAAAATGAAGATTACAATTCTCCTGAACTTAAAGTGATTATCGTTAATCACTTGAAAATGTTGTCACTTAAATTTGAAGAGTATTTTCCCTCAAATCAAGACCCAAAGGAAGGTTTTTTGTGGGTTTTGGATCCATTCAGTTGCTATGGCATAACAAATGATCTATTTACGAATGAAGAGGATATGTTGGCAGATCTTTCCTCAGACATAACGTTGAGAAACTTAAAAAACAATTTATCACTACATAAATTTTGGATAAAAGTTCATAAAGAATATGAGGTGATAAGTGAAAAGGCGTTAAGAGTGATACTCCCTTTTCCTTCAACGTACTTATGTGAAAATACAAACAAACCTTCAAATAATACAATTAATAACTTGACACGGCACCGCCTTTTGCTCTAGCTTGGCGCTCACCCGTGTATCTCTCGATATCAGCCGTCCAGCTATTAATATGACAATCGGTTGTCTCCCCGCCTTTGACACTGAGATAAGGTCGCCGACGAATATGGATTACTGATATTGCGTTCTGTTGTGTTTCCGACGTAGACCTTAACTGGTTACCCGTTGTTTTTGTCGTTTCTTTTTGAGTTGGTTTTTTTTTCTGGTGTGCTAAGACGATACCTCGAGACCGATACCTTGAGTAAGCTGTGTAGTATACTATATCTACATATATATACATTTGGATTATGTAAGAAATATATCCGTAACGGCTAGGGTAATATTCATAAATACATTATGTAATCACCCTTAACTATTAAATTATATTTACAATTATACTATAAAATAGTTTTACTTATCTATTAAATTAAATCAACTAATTAGGCCAACCACCGCTATACTGTACAAATATAGGTGGGTGGGGATGAAAAAATTATGTTACCTTAAAATCAAATATTGGCCAAGTAGACAAGTATGTACTTGTAAACTTGTCAAGCCATTAATTCCTTTGACTTGTGTTACATTTACCGACAATCTGCGGGAAACTGACAAGTGACCAATAATTGTACAAGTATAGTGTTCCGACGGCTTGATAAGTATACACAAGTGACAAAAATTTGGTAAGTACACCAGTCGTGGGAATCCGGCTTTACCTAAACTACAACGAGCTTTATACAACTTGGTTAACAAGGCGCGCATAAAGCTAAAAAGTTTTGGGAAAATATAAGAAATTGTAGTTTTATGTATTTCTAGGCTACAGTTTTCATTTTTCTGAAAACTTTGTAAGTTTTCTTAAAAAAGTTATCTTTACAATTTTGAGTTTACTTTAAGTCAATGCTTTGTTATTATGAAATAGAAAACTCTGCAATACTCGTGTTTTTAACCTCTCACACCCTTGAAATTAACAATATTTGTTTTGAAGGGCAGTGTTGTTTTCAACTTTTAAATGTATATATTTGTAACTATTATTTTAGACAATTTTAATGGAAGGGCAGGAGATTTGTGCAATCGAATTTGAAAAAATGGAATTAAATACCCCAACATGTTCGGACAAAACAAATAATTTATTAAGTTTGGATAAAAACATGGACCAAAAAAAAAAATTATTTTACAAAAAGATATACTCCTTACAGTATACCAAAGATAATAGGAAATGGAGTAAGTATATTTAATTATTATATGTATGTATTAGATTGTCCAAAAAAAGTTTATTTCCCATCCGTTTTAATTTTTCAGAGTTATTAGTATTTTAATCGTAATGAAATTTTTGAAATTATATAGAAAAAATAGATAAAATTAAATGTTTTGTGTATATAATTTGATGTAGAAAATGTTAGCATTTAGAATTTGCAAAAGTAATTAAAAAAATATATTCTTTGAAAAATTAGCGATTTTATACCAAAATGTCATTTTACCATAATATCAAAATGTGAAAATTGAAATACGCCCCTCAGTGACTTTTTAAGGTTGATCAAAAACTTCAAATTTAGACGGCTACCTTTTTTTGGTGTCCTTTTTTTTTGGAAAATCAAAAATAATTTTTTTTGGTTAGTTTATTATGTATGGGTTGGAAAAATAATTTTTGAAAGCTTGTTTAGTTTCAAACTCTCAAAAATTAATGTAAAAA